CGCGCGCGAGCGAGAGAGAATAGCTTGCCGTGGTGTCTTGTTTTCTGGGTGTTTTGTCCAGGTACGCGTTCGGCTGGCGTGACTGTGTGTAAGCAGGGCCCCCCGCCCCACGGGTGGGGGGGGGGGGGGGGGGGGGAGAATCCCCAAACACACACACCCGTTTGCCCTGCCTGCATGCGTTCACTTCCGAAGGAATATTCGGTATCACCTGAGACCTTCACCTGTGACAGCGTCCTTTTCGTTCACCGTCTTTATGTAAAAAAGGGCTATTTCAGATGAGCACTGCCTTCATTGCCCTGTTGTGCTCTAAGTGACCATTTCCCTCATGAGTCTTTTATCCTCGCCCCTAGAAACTGTTGGTTCAGCCTGCTCTGGGCGGGGCCAAAGGGCTTCTCATGGCCATGCTTGGTTTTAGGGAAACCTGGCAGCTTTGAAATACTGGGGACTTGGGGGGGTGGGGGGGGGGCTGAGAAAAGGAGAGCTTACTGTGGCGGATGGCTTTCCAATGGGGTGACGTGCAAAGGTGTAGTGTTAGTGACGAAGGTGGGCAGGAGGCTAGATCTGTGCCATGTCAACCCCCCCCCCCCCCACTCCGCAGCTGATTGGTGCCCCGGAGGAGCGCAGGGGCACATGGGCCAGGGTGACATGCTCGATACGGAATCGCCTCAGTGCTCGCTGGCGGCCCGTCAATTTGTCAGGAGACGGGGGAAGAGAGGAGGGGATGAAAGGATGGGGGAACGGCCCAGAGCGTAATAACATTTCGGAAAAGAAAGCGCTGAGTATGGCTGAGCTTTGATTCCACCTGACAGAACCTCTTCAGGTGTTCATTACTCACTGGTGGACCCCCGCCCTCAGCGAGCACTGGGGGCCGAAAGGAGTGAGAGGCACCCCCCCCGCATCCCAAGCGATCACCCCCCTCCCCCAGGAAGCAGCCGCGGGTTTATCGACCACAATCCGGCATGGGCGACTGTGAGGAGCCGGCGGACTCAAACCCGGACCCCTTGACTGGGGGGGGGGCATCTGCGCCATGCCTGGCTCTCCTTTGTCATCATTTTTTATCTGGAGGAAACAACAGAAGCCGCTGGGCTTTTGAAAGCAAGATTAGCGTGTAGCACGCTTGACTGTTAGCCACCTCAAAGTGCGGCTCCTTCTCCCACTCGGCCTTTCATCTCGCCGGACCAGAGAGCCGGGATTTGTCTGTTGGATTTGTCTTCTGAAAGTACGCATGTCCCATCTGAATGCCCTGGCAGCAGCTGCCCCTCCACCCCTTTTGGGAAAGAGGAAACAGAGCTGGTGTTTTTAAGATTAAGGATTAGCGTCTAGCATAGATCAGCCCTGCTTATCTCTTAAGCAGTTTTCCGTGGTTTTCCGTGGTTTTCCGTGGTTTTCTTCCCTCCCAGGAACATTCGCCCCTTTCACGCCGGCGGTGAACTCAGCTGAGACGGCCTTTATTGGCCAAATGCCTGCCCTCCCCCCAGTCTGAGCCAAAATCAAATGCTAGCGTCACACACCCATTTGCCAGATCGCTATACACGTAATGCCTAGTATTGCTCAACTTTTTAAGGAGAATGGACGCAGTTCTGGCACTTACAGGGCCGCGGGGGTCCAGCAGTTATCGGGGCCTGTCCCGCCAGCATTCACAGACCCAGACATGAGGTATTCGACTTGCACAACAGGAAACGTACGAGTTCTGGTCTCATGTCGTCAGCGGGTGAAGAATGACCATCAGCGGCCATAGTTTATCTGAACCGATGGTAAAATACTCAAGAGTATGAGATTCTTTCGGTTCAAGTAGCATGGTTGTAGCCTGGGACAACATGGGGTTTCCGAACTGATTTTTGGTTTGGGTGTGTTTTGGAGAGGGTGTTGTGAGATTTAATCCTGGCCAGACCACCAAGACAGGCAGGGAGGCAGACGCCTTAGGGGGCCTCGTCCTGGTGAAGTGGCCCTGAGCTCCTGGTCCGTTCAGTACGTCCCATGTTCAAACAGACCTTCATCTTTTCATCCCTAACAAAGACGCTGTGACCTCCTAAAGATGGGGGAGTGACCCAGGGGGCGGGTCTTGAAAAGAATTAGTCGCCCTCCTGCCCTGTAACTCTCTCACGCCTTGCCCCCCCCCCACCCCAGCCTTGTTCCCTCCCTTCATACGTGCCCCTCCCTCTTGTCACCGGTCCCCAGCATAAGTCGGTAAACCAAGTGGGGGAGGGGCCAGTAGAGGGGCGCCCCCTCTCTGAATGGGAGAGCAAAACTGTAAACCCCCAGCTGGAGAAACCACCATGAAGAGCTCCACCAGTTCACCCCCCCAACATACACACACACAACGCATGTCCCATCAGGTACCTCCAACACCCCCCCACCCCCACACACGCACACCCCCTGCCCAGCCCCTTCTTCCGTGGCCTCCCAGGAGGCCGACGTTGCAGGGGTGCCGAGCTTGGCGAGTGGTGCATGTGCTCTCTCAGAACGCCCTCACGCATGCCTGCTTCTGACATAACTCTGAATTTAGGGTATGGGGAAAGAGCAAGGTGGGTGTTGGGCCAGCGAATAGCACGATGGCGGCGGGATGTACGGATCATGACGGGTAACTGTCATTTTGTCCCATTGGATGAGCTTGGATGAACCTCTTTACCATTGGATGAACATGTTCCATTGCTAATGGCCATTGAAGCACCCTACAAAGGTTGAGAATCTACCTGCAAACGCTTGCGTGGCCCTGAGCCCGGAGCACAGACAGACCCTCTTCGCTGAGTGAGCGGAGGCCACAGAGCTTTGTGAACCCAACCAGCTGACGGTCCACGCCATCGTCAGCAGACATCAGATTCTGCTCTGCTTATGGGGGGGGGGGATAACCATCCCAGAAAAAGCTTTTCAACCTTTGAGGCGTATGGCTGATATGTGTGTGGCATTGCCCTGCATGTCTGTACTGACTGATGCTTGCCTCTGCTCTGTCTCTTAACCCCTGTGCTTGGTGTCACCTCGGTGGCGAAGCGTGGCCCCCCCACTCTAACTGTTTGCCTTGCCGTCAGCCTAACCTGTCTCTCTCCCCCATGTCTCCATCATCTGACCTCCTGCCCTCATCTCACCCCCCCCCCCCCCCCCCCCCCCCCCCCCCCCCCCCCCACCCCACCCGCCCATCAGCCCACGGACCAGGAACAGTTGCCTTCATTTCCATTTAGCCACATTGGTTTTTTTTTTTACTTCTCCCATTTCATGCATATTTTTACATATACAAAAAGTAACAGTACCCCCATCCATAGACCCATGCTAATCGACACATTAACAAAGATGTTATGCTAATGAATTATTAACTACAGTCCCAAAAGCCATTGCATTTCAACAAAAAACTAACATTATCAAAAATACGTGTAAATCTAATATACATACCCATATTAATTTAACGAGAATGAAACAGAAAGTGTGAATTTCACCAATTGTAGCTGATGCCCATTTAGGAAAAGCTATCAGTTTTTTACTATTCTGCATGCAGTGTTACAGTATATATAAAGTAGAGTTATACCATTTACTGTAAGTCCACATTGCTTACATATTTAATGTCCGACTGCAGGCAGGAACACATCATTCACAGCGCCCCCCTAAGGCCCAGGATGGTCACACACATCATTCACAGTTAAGCGTACATGTTCTCTGGGCTCAGAGTTCTCTCAGAGCCACGCCTCTAGAGGACACCCCCAACGCAATCACAATTCACACGACGGTCCGCTGGGCCCTGACCACTCCCTCCGCCCTGCCCCCCCCCACCCCCCACAGCTCAACTCTCCGCCCCCTCCTTCCACGCCACACCTTTTCCCCGCCCCTCCCTCACCTGTGACCCAGCCTGTGTCTCCATGACCTTGCATTATTAAATTACACTTATCGATCATTCTTGCCAGGGATGCCATCGCCTACCACATTAAAGAAGTCAGAGAAGTCTGGTTTCAGCAGCCCTGTGCCTTCGCAGACCACCTCCCCCCGAACGGCATTCACACACCATCATCGGCCTGTCATTACAGGACCCAGAGGTGAGGTCCCCTCCCCCTACCCCACCTCGCCCCACCCTGTCCAACCCTCGAAACACCCACCACATCTGGCACCCTACGTCCTCCTGGCCTCGGACGCCGTGGAAACCATCACCCGCCTCAGCCCCCGGGACAGTGATGTCGGGGCCAGTGGGGGGGGGGGGCACAAATCAGCACTCCCCCAACCATAAGCCCTTTACTTTAAAAATTCTTCAAGATGTAAACTCAGACAGAGGCATATAGATATTTTCTGTATGTGTGTGTGTGGGGATTATGTTTATATTACATTGTGAGGACCAAATGTTCCCTATAATGTAATAAAACCTGTTATTTTGACATTGTGGGGACCACTTTTCAGTTCCCCACGAAGATCTGTGAATGCAGTCATAAAACCAAAAGCCTCGTACCATGTTTGGTTGCTTATGGTTAAGGTTAGGCATGGGTAGGGGTTAAGGTCGTCATGTTGGGACTAGAGTTTTCCCCATAGAAATGATTGTAGAGTCCCAACAAAGATATAATTACAAACCTGTGTGTGTGTGTGTGTGTGTGTGTGTGTGACTGGCTCGTCATTTATAGCTCGCGTGTGCCGATTGGCCGCACCCTTGCATAATTTTCTTCGTCTCCAGTGAGCGCCTACTAGCTGTAGGATCAGGCAGGGCCATCAGCCTCGGACCACAGGGACTCTTCCGAAGTGGGGAGTAGAATCTCTTGCCCCTATATTTTTCTCACTTGACGGGCATTTTGTTTCATTCACGGCATAAACATTCGCTTCAGTATTTGCAAATGAATAAACCAAGACTTGGTACCCCACCCCCCCACCCCACCCCACTGCCCATCACTTCGTTGTCATCATGGTGTAAGAGTGTAATTTTTATTAACTCTATCAGATGAGGTAACCAGTGTTGGTTATATTTGGCTTGGACTTTAAAAAGATGGCCGACAGAAGGAAGTTCTACTTTAGTGTGTCTCAAGCTAGTCTTTGGGGACCCACAGACCGCCCACATTTTTGTTCCCCCCCAGGGAGGCTGTTTGGGAGTGCCCCCGAAGACTGGGTTGAGAAACTCTAATCTAGTTAGTAATCTGCTGCGTCACTAACCTGAACACCGTTCTCATGTCTGGATTCACCTGTTATCACTTCCCCGCCTTCCTACCGCACCACATGCGAATTCCATCATGCCAGGACATTCTACAGTGTTAGGCCGCGAGTGGAATCCCCCTGAGGGACCGTGTGGGACACTTTTCCAGTCAGAACCACAGGAGGCGGTCACGGGCAGGACTGTGAACACACTGTGACGTGCCGCATTCTGAAGGACCTGAGAGGGAAAAAAAAACTGTCCTTTTTCAAAAGTCATGTGCACTAAAGACTTTTTTTTTTTTAATACGGGAAATGTCAGCGCTGTTCATTTATTAATTTCACAGACATTTTTATCCAAAGCGACTTACACTTGGGACAGCAGTGCCAGACAGTTCCTGCTGCAGTTGCAGGTTAAGGGCCTTGCTCCAGGACCCAGTGTCGAAACCACTTTGCTGACATTGGGACTCGAACCAGTGATCTTCTGAGCAGAGGTATAGGGTCTTAACCAACTGAATCACACACACAAGTAACAGAATAACCAACGTGCCTGGTGAGGACCATAATGCGGGTCCCAGCGATGCTAAAACATCTCAGAAATAATCTTTATGGAAAAAACAGAACATTTTAAGACATGCGTAGTTATTTTGATAATCCCCTTTGGATTGTAAGTATCTTCCTCCAGTAAAGTCAGTGATCAAAAAATAAATAAATAAATAAATAGATGAATTTTTTTAAAAAGCCAGTGGAGCAATGCGATTTGCAAAGTGGAACTAATCCGGCCTCTTCATGCCCCGCATGCGGCCATCCACACAGGCGTCATACAATGGGCGGGGGGAGGGGGGGCGCATACCCGACAGCTGTCTGAACCGCTCTCCCTTTCAGGATGGCGTTATTATTTACATATTTGTCACCGGAGCAGAGCCCCCCCAGATTAACTGCGGGGGCCACCCACTGGGACTGCCGTTCTGAGAGACCTGCCATACCAGCGCTCACTTTCATGTAACGGGCCATAATTACGCGCTAAAGGCAGCTAAAAGCCCCCATTAGAGGCCTCATCAGGCCTGCCCGGCCTCCCCCCACTCCGCTGTTCCCATGTCACACACAGGGGGGCGCCCCTTGGCACTGGGTGCTTCATTAATCATACCTGTCTCATTGGTTGGGGGGGGGCAGATACCCCTTAGTCTCTATGTTCCATCATCCAGTGTCCACTGAACATTTTTCATGTGTAGAAAGAGATTAAAATGTAATATTCAGACAGCACATCAATATGCGCGGTGTTGTCAGGAAAAGGCCACAGATGGGTCAGTATCTCCTTACCGATGTGACATGACATGCCTTTTTTTGCTTGGTTTGGGCAGTGAGAGGGAGTTGTAATATACTTGTCTTTGGTACTAACACAAATGGATATTTTCTCTGATCCCCACATAGTTTTCCCATGGCCATCATATGTTCATCACATGGTCATCACATGTTCGTCACATGGGTGTCACATGTTCGTCACATGGGTATCACATGGTTGTCACATGGGGTGTTTCTCAATACCAAGAATGCAAAGATTGTACTTGTGGTCTTGGCAAGACCTGCCTTGGGTTCCTCCCAAGAACAAAATTGGGATGCAATGAATCAGGGACTGGTCTCATCTATCGAGGATGGAACTGATGTATCCTTGATATTTAGGGCAGAGCAAGAATGACATCTGGGGATTTTTACCATCCGCTGTACTTCTGTTTTTGGTATTGGAACCGATCTTCGGCAATGGAAGATGGAGTAAAACGGGTATACGAGATCACAAGTATGGTCAAGTACGCATATTGAGAAACAACCCAAAATCCCCACTAGACCCTAGCAGTTCTTCACTCCCATTCTGTCACATCGTGCCCTTCATTCCAAGCCCGAGTACTGGTGTCACTACAGAATGTCAGTCAACCGTGGATGTGAGCGGCACATGTGCCAGTGTTGGAAGTCAAATACAAAAGCAACTAAAAGAGAAATAAAATTAACTAAAAAAAAAATAATAAAACTAAGTAAAAGCAAGTCAAACAGAAAAAACATATATATCCAGTTCCTGTGAGGGACTTTGCCAGTGTCAGTATAGACAATAAAAGATAATCAGCCATTGTATGAAAATGTATGCAAATACAAGAGATGACCTTAGCTGTCTATCATGGGTAAGGGTGCAGGATTGGCACATAGCCCTTTATTGCTTGAATAGTTTAATACTTTAATATTTTAACACGGTTGACTCAGATGGGCAGCATATGCTTGACTCAAATCCACGGTCGACTCAGATCCTGTAGTGACAACCGGGTTGCTTTGCCCTCCATGTTCACAGCACCCTGTATCTATGGCTATGAAAGCCACATTGCGCGGCGGCGCCCCCTGAGGCATACAGAGGCTAAGGCAGGGAGCGCACCCTAGGACTGTGGTCTCGCCGCGATTCGCGGGCGGCTCACACACCATTAAAGATAGCAGGAGAGCCTGTGAATCATTAAGTTCCAGCTTACGGCCTGTGATATTGTAAAAGGGCTGTTGGTTTGCAATTTCAGCACAGGTACGCGCCGCTGCGTAAATAAATATTAGAGACCTGTGTACAGCTGGCGCAAAGCTCAACGGGATTAAGTTTAAGTTCAAAACTCTTTGATGGATACTTTCCTAGGAGACACTTGGTCAAAAGTTAAATTATGTAACTGTTAAAAATGTGTTATTTTATTTTATAACTCTTTTTTGTAATCTATTCATAAATGACACCTGCTGATACAGCTGGGGATACAGCCGGGATCTCCCGTGCCCTTCTGTGCATGGTTTCAGGTTCCGAAACCAGCCTTAAAGGCCCCCGGTCCGAACGCTGCGGCTATCCCGTGCTTGCCGGATGGGGGGGGGCACTTCCTGAGGCTGCGGTGCTGCGCGGGAGTTGCAGGGGGGCACGGGAATATTGCCCGGCTCCGCACGTCAATGCAAACAGGTCGATGTGGGATCCAAAGAGCCGCGGTATCGAATGATGGATGTCCGATACGCGGCGCCTCCCAGAGGGCTGCATATGGAAAAGGCAGATTTATTTATCGATTTTGATTCGGTTGACCTTCGCAGGCAGCGTGTCACCATAGCGGTTCACGGCTCTGACGCGGAGCTGATGACGTTTGATCGGGTCGTATGAAAGCCAAGTTAAAGTTTAAATTAAAGGCCTGTCCTGAGCAGCCGCTGCCCACGCCGCATGGATGCCGTTTTAGCCAGAGGTCAGACGGGACTGTGACAGGGCAGGGTGGGGGTGCGCGTGGTGGGGCGGGGGTTCGGGGGGGCACTCCACCATCTCTGCATCTGTGCACTTCTGGGGTGTCAGAAAACATCCGCGTTCACAAACACATGTGTATGTGTGTGAATTATGTTTATATTACATTGTGTACAATGTAATAAAAACCTGTTATTTTGAGGTTGTGGGGACCATTTTTCAGGTCCCCGCAAAGATTTATGACTACGATAAAAAAAGTAAAAATGCCAAAAGTCTCGTATTTTGTTTGGTTACTTATGGTTAAGGTTAGGGCTGGTTAGGGGTTAAGGTCGTCATGTGGGGATTAGAGTTTTCCCCATAGAAATAAATGGGGAGTCCCCACAAAGATATAATTACAAACCTGTGTGTGTGTGTGTGTGTGTGTGTGTGTGTGTGCCCCAGAACTGGGATGGGGGGGTGGGGAGTGAGGGAAAAAATGCAGGTTGGTGGGGGTAGGGTGGGGTGGGGGGTCAGCGGAGGGCAGAAAAAGCCATCCATTGTATTATTACTGTAAATAGGACGCCTACATAGCGAAGCAGCGGCCGGGGTTTCCAGTCATTCTCTATTGACAGAGCCATAAATCACACAAAGTTAAGTGAATTACTGCAGTGAGGAACTGTGGCTTTAACAATGTTTACGTAGTATCAGCTTACCATCTCCCCTGAAAGGGAGCCCGGCGCTGATACAGGAAATGGGAGCAGCCGGCCTTATTAACTGTGCCGCAATACATCACAGCCGCAGAGCGCGCCGTATTATACTAATAACCAATAAGCCAATATTACCACTATTAAGAGCAGTCTAATTAGATTGAGCCGCTCACAATTAAAGAGCCGATAAGCCCCGATGCATTAAGAAGCCGTCGGTCGCAGGTGCGAGATGCGACATCGCGCTCCGCCCCCCCCCCCCCCCCCCCCAGCCATTTATTATCCCGTGCCGAGTTTTTATCGCTTTTGTATTAACTTGTTCCAAAAAAAATGACAATAATGAAATACCAGCCTGAACATTTTGTCCTGTTCCGAGGCTGCGTCGTTTCTCCTGTGCGGGACAGGGCGGGGGGGGGGGGGGGGGGGTAGATAACCTCACTTTCTAAATAAGCGCCACTAGCTCAGATAGCAGGCTAGCGGGACCAACTCATTCATTCACTGGGACTGGTTCCTGCAGTTACTCTCGTGGGGGTATTTGGGAGGTGTGTGTGTGGATTAGGCTTATATTACATCGTGGGGACCAAATGTCCCCCAGAATGTATTAAAAACCTGATTTTTAAACATTGTGGGAACCATTTTTCAGGTCCCCACAAAGATCTGTGAATGGAATCAAAAAAGAAAAAAATGCCAAAAGTCTCGTATTTGGTTTGGTTACTTATGGGTAAGGTTCGGGGTGGGTAGGGGTCGTCATATTGTGATTAGAGTTTTTCCCATAGAAATTAATGGAGAGTCCCTGCAAAGTATAGTTACAAACCTGTGTGTGTGTGTGTGTGTGCGCACGTGCGTGTCTGTTAGCATGCCTCCCCAATATGCACGTCCGAGCATGCAGCCTGCCTCTCCCCCCCCACCCCCCAGGCCCTAACGCGCTGTGTCTCTCTGTTGCAGCGAGTTCCTAACTTACCATGTCTCTCTGTTGCAGAGTCCTTGACACATTGTGTCTCTCTGTTGCATCGAGTCCATAACACGCCGTTTCTCTCTGCTGCAGTGAGCCGCTAACACGCTGTGTCTGTGTACTGTAGCGAACCCCTAACGCGCTGTGTCTCTCTGCTATAGCAAACCACTAACGTGCCGTGTCTCTCTGCTATAGCAAACCACTAACGCGCCGTGTCTCTCTGTTGCAGTGAGTATGTAACGTGCCGTGTCTCTCTGCTGCAGCGAGCCGCTAACACGCTGTGTCTCTCTGCTGCAGCAAGCCGCTAACACGCTGTGTCTCTCTGCTGCAGCGAGCCGCTAACACGCTGTGTCTCTCTGCTGCAGCGAGCCCCTAACGTGCAATGTCTCTCTGCTGCAGCGAGCCGCTAATGCACCGTATCTCTCTGCTGCAGCGAGTCCCTAACGTGCCATGTCTCTCTGCTATAGTGAGCCACTAATGCGGCGTGTCTCTCTGTTGCAGTGAGTCCGTAACACGCTGTGTCTCTCTGCTGCAGCGAGTCCCTAACACGTTGTGTCTCTCTGCTGCAGCGAGTCCCTAACGTGCCATGTCTCTCTGCTGCAGTGAGCCCTTACCGCGCCGTGTCTCTCTGTTGCAGCCAACCCCTAATGCGCTGTGTCTCTCTCTTGCAGCGAGTCCACACACCACGCCCTCCAGCCTGCATTTTCCCACGTCGCCCATCATCCAACAGCCGGGTTCCTACTTCTCGCACCCAGCCATCCGCTACCACCCCCAGGAGACCCTCAAGGAGTTTGTCCAGCTTGTCTGCCCTGACAGTGGTCAGCAGGCCGGACAGGTGGGCTTCCTTAATGTAAGAAGGACCATTTTAAAGAACCTTTCCCCCTCTTCCCCCTCTCCTGTCCTCTTTTTCATCCCTCCCCCACACCACGGCATGTCTGTGAAGTGTGTGCGTGGTCAGCACGGCCAGGCGTGTTTTATACGTGACGCATGGCTGCGCCAACCGCATGCACGCATGTAAGCGGCGCAGCGTGGCTGTCTCGCCGGCAGGCCGGTTGGGGGGGGGGGGCGTGCCTGTGGGTCTCGCCCAACGTCTGCAGTCAGACAGCTGATATATTTACGTCTAGACGGCGAATCGATATGGGTCCTTAATGCGCCGTGCGCTCTCTGGCCCCAGCAGTGACGCATGCGGTCGCATGGGGCGGGGAGGGGAGGGTGGGGGGGGTCCAGTTCGGGCACACTAACGTCTGCGGCCCCGGTGCATCTGAGCAAAGTCGTGAGATCGTCTGGGTAACACCTGCCGGGTCTGCCAGGAAGGGGGGGGACGCTCCTCACCTCCCAGTGCTGACCTGTCTTCTCCCCGTTTCGGTACAGCCCAACGGGAGCAGCCAGGGAAAGGTGCACAACCCCTTCCTGCCCACGCCCATGCTGCCCCCCCCACCCCCCCCACCCATGGCGCGACCTGTGCCCCTGCCCGTGCCAGACTCCAAACCTCCCTCCACCTCCACCGAGGGGGGGGGCAACTCCCCCACCTCACCAAGTGAGTACCTCCACACTGTCGTTACATAATGCCTCACACCTCACTGCTCCTGTCACCTATCAAAGCAATTCATCAAGGAATTACTTGATTAAATTAGCAATTGCTTCTGTCCACAGTCACATGACTACACAGCTCACAGCTTCATGCTTTTCTCATTTAGACAGCTGAGTATGTTATTCAACCAGTACAGCCCAAGCACCCAAACCAAGGGTACAACAGCCATTCCTTTTGAGTTATGTAGCTCTTAATTTTTTTGTGTGGAGGACAGGTAGCTTTAGTGCCCCCCCAGCCTCTTTGGCCCCAGGGGCCTTCCTCACTAACGGGCCCCCACCCTGTCTCTCTCCCCCCCAGCCTACTCCACGCCCAGCACGTCTCCAGCCCAGCGATTTGTCAGCGTTGGCCCCCGGGACCCCGGCTTTGTAAATATCCCTCAGCAGCCTCAGGTGAGCACTGGCACCTCCGGCGCCCCCCCCCCCAACCTCGCACTCAGCCCAGGGGTGACGGATCTGCTTCCTATTCCTCTGGACCACCTCTGGATTGTGGAGGGCACTGATTTATCGGGGTTGTAATGAGCTCGACCCCAGGGTCCTCTGCGGAAACGGGTCACCCCCGCCTTGTGATTTATCCCCTTTACCAGGTGCGGAGGAAAGGCTGGTGGTGAAGTGGGCGGGGCCATTTGCTGCAGTCTCGCTGCCGATTGGACAGGGGGCACGCGTCGGGCAGTATAAATGCTAAAAGCTTCAATATTTCATCATAACGCGCAGTTCTCCTTGCACATTAAAAGTGATGCTCACTAATGAGTGCATCTGCCCTGAGAGACGGGGGGGGGGGTCCCAGAGAGCCCTCAGCTTGTCCGGGCGTGTGTGTGGGCGTGTGTGCGATGCACGTGACTGCCGTGGTTAACCTCAACCCTCAGCTCCTCACCAGCAGAGGAATACAGCTCTCATTTAAGGTCCTGGAGGAGGGCGCCGCCCTGCTGGAGGGACACGTGTGGCACAGGCATTTCTTCCTCAGTCCTGCTGACTGGGACAAGCCTGTGTGATGGGGAAAGAAAGCTAAAGTCAAGGGCGGCTAGTTTAGCGGCAGGAGAGTCGTTGTGGGTGTAACATGGTCCGGATTCACCCATTCGTGGTCGGTCCCGAGTGTAGCAGTATGAGGTTGGATTGGCTTAGCGGGGACATGGGGGGTAGCAATGGAGGGATGGGGGGGGGAAGAAGAGAGGATGAGGGCTGGAGAGCCACGTAGGGGATGCTGGATGAGGGTGGGGGGTATCACTGCACGGTGTCCGTGACTCTGTCCAGGGTACCATTGCTGACTCTGTCAGGAGCCACAGCGCACGCTGTCCTGAACAGGAAACAGAGGCGGGTGTGCGGATGGGGGGTGGATACTATCTGCTGCCGTCTGTCAGTTGACAGTTTGTGTTTTTGTTTTTTCCAACCCTCCACCTTATCAGATGGCTGAGGCAGGGTCAGGCCTTTATTATACTCCACCTCCAGAGTGACAGTGTGTGCATTCAATACGGGCCTGACAATGAGGCCTGCCCTCTGCAGTCTGCTTTGACACACTTAAACACACACACATACATACACACACACATATGCACACACACACATATACACACACGCACACACACATACACAAACACACATACGGACACACATACGCACACACACGCACACATACATACACACACACATATGCACACACACACATATACACACACGCACACACACATACACAAACACACATACGGACACACACACATACGCACACACACGCACACACACACACACACACACACATACACACACACACACACACACACACACACACACGCATACACACACACACACACACACACATATACACACACATGTCCCCAAGCCCCACCCTTCCTACACCTTCCGAATATTTCTTCATTGATCTCTTTCCAAAGTGCTGGCCACCTCAGCCTCCGACCAGATGACAGTCGTTTCTGAATTCTTCGACTCAATTCATTTTTTCACCTCTATTCTGTCTGTAAATTCTGTTTGACTCTGATTCCCATTTTTGTTTTATTCAAAGTCTGATCAATTGACTTTCAGTCCCAGTTTGATTCCTCTGTTCATTTTACTCCTCTGTTTGATTCCTTTGTTTGTTTGACCCTCCTATTTAATTAGTGTTATATGACTCCTCTTTTTGACTCGTCAGTTCATTTGAGTCCCCTGTTTGACTCCCTTGTTCAATTTACTCCTGTTTGATTCATCTGAGTCTCATGTATGATTCCTTTGTTTATGCGACTCCCTTATATGACTCCTCTGTTCATTTGAGTCCAGTGTTTGATTCCTCTGTTCGTTTGACTCCTTTCCTTGACTCCTATGTTTGATTGACTCACATTTGTCCGCTTCGTCTGCTCTGCTCCTCTGTTTGTGTGGGACCTCAGTTCATTTAATTCGTCTGCCGTCCTTGCAGTCAGACAAACTCAGAGGGTTTTTGGGAGCACGGAAAGGTAGTCTGTGGGAAATCGCAGGATTATCAGCTAAGATATACTTTCCTAGTCTGCCCTGGGGGAGAGGGGTGCGCGTTGGAGCTTCGGGCCTTTGTGACAGATACAGACAAAGATAAAGTGAGACAGAGTCAGCAAGAGCTTGACATCTGATCGAAACAACGGCACTGACATTTTGAGGGCAGTCCTCCTAGCACGGTGCTCATTATTACATGTCATATAAAGTGTAACAGTCATTGTAATGTGCTTATTTTAAAGGGCAACAAGAAAAGCAGCACTCCCCCCCATCCAGGCTGCACAAATAAAGCCCAAAGTGACCCCCCAGCGGTAAGCACGGCGCAAACTGAATGTGCTTCCTGGTCGCTGTAAACATCCCTGCATCTCCCAGGACAAAAGTTACCCGGACGGGGGGCAGATGTTAAGGGGAGAAAGGAGAAAGTGAGACATGGGACAGTAACAGTAAACATTCCTGGCAGTCGCTCCCCAGCAACGCGCGCCTGGACAGGCAGCCTGGCCGTGGTGGTGATTGAGGGCCTCGTGGGGAGCTGGAGGCCGGGTGCTGGGGGGCCCCGGCACATAAAGGAGAGCCGCCGGGTGGGTGGCACAGAGCCGGCGAAACGGGAGAGGCTGGCATAGCACGGAGGGCCCCCCCTCTTCATGCCACTTCCCTCTGCCTGCTGTGGATGGGGGTTCCCACGGGGGCGGCCCGCTCCAGACGTGCCAGCCCCCCCGCCCCTCCCCGCCTTTAATCCAACAAAGGCATTCCAGCGAACGCAGACACCGGCGTGGTCTCATGGTAACTGAGCCCAGATACTGCCTTCCAAACATCCCATAGTCAGCCCCCCCCCCCGTATCCGCGTCTGGCTAATTTATAAGACTGGAGTCTTGGGCTGCAGCTGCCATTAACGTGCAGCTGTGGAGCCATAAAGCCCAAGTGCAGGTATATGCAGTCTTACACGCGCACGGCCGTGCCTTCCTCTGATTGGCCACGCTTTGCTGAAGCCGTGTACAGTGTCCTCTGCTCTCAGAATGCAGGATGGGCAGTTGCGAGAAGGTTCCACACCCTCCACAGGTGCAGCGAGAGCAGATCCAACCCCCGGTGACCTCTGAGCCTGATGTCAGCCTGGCCCGCTCTGAGAGGTCGACATGTCAGCCTCGAAATAGCAGTGATGTTAACAGCACTGAACCCAGTGATAATTTGAGGATGCAAGATCCTCCCTCTGGATCAGGCTGAATAAGCAAGTGAACTGAACAAGTGACGACACTGGTACCGACCGGGAAAGCGGGACTGTAGGCAGGGCCACGTTCCAGGTGCATGTCATTCCCCTTCGAACCAGCAGGGGGCATAGATCTATTTGTTTTTTTTATTATATTAATTATCTGAGATGAATCTGATGGTTTTTGCCCTGAGCTGAGTGTGGACAGAGCTGCAGAACTCCATGCACATGGGCTTGGGGGGAGAACTGCTGCAATTGGCTGACGAATCTCCGGAAGACATGCCTGATAATAATAATAATAATACTAAAAATAATGGTGAAAGCTGTCATAGCAGCAATTTGGTGAGCAGGATGGTAGTAGCTTGGGGTAGGAATAATTCATAAGAGTCTAATCAGTGTCTTAGTAACAGGGGAAACATGGTTCCGATGGCCCAGCAATTTGAGATATAAATAAATAATGGGGCTGGTGTCTGGGGCCCCCCCGTGGGAGCGGTAAGTGGCGGCGGGCCGCAGGCGGGGGGTTTGCATTACGTGGGTCTGCATTCCTGCGAGATGACACTCATCCACGGGCACTTTGGGGGCTGGGGTGGGGGGGGGCTGAGTCAGCACTCCTATGCCTGATGAGATTACTTGTTCCATTGACAGAGAGCTGAAGGAACAGCCAAAGATCCCCCCCCCCCCTCGCGACGTGATGAGCTGTATGTGTGTGTGCGCGTGTCTGTGCCCCCGCCCACCTCTCCATTTAAAAGGCAGTTTCACCTTCAAGGCTCTGGGAGAGGACAGCCACGGGCCGGGGGTGGGGGGGTGGCTTCAGTTTCTGTGTGTGTGTGTGTTGGGGGGATGTTATCCTGAAAATCACATAATTTCTCTTGTAAGCGACGGTCAGTGGTGGTTTTTATTCACAATCACGGCGCTGTACCCTGAGAGGAGTGAGGGGCTGAGTCCGTCCTGGTGCACTGGAGCAGTACCACACTCCCAGTGTGAAGTGAGAGGCGTGTGCCGTAAACACGCATCAGGTGACTCTGCTCGTGGCTCTGCACTGTGCCTGTAGGCAGCCGTGTGGTAACAGAGGGCGGGGGCTTCTGGTGAGACCTGATGTCCGACCCACGCTCCCCCCCCCCCACTAAGAAACATGACTGTGGGCCAGATGTGTCCGCAGCAGAGGGACCTTCCCGATGCAGCCTTGAGGGATAGCAGCCCTCCTGGATTCCGACAGAATCCAGCTGTTCCTGGAGATTTACAGCGCCTTTGCCATGCGGCAAGCACAGTGGCAGTGTGTGTGTGTGGGGGGGGTCACCCAGGGAGTCTGGTTTCACTTAGGTACAGTCACCCCAGGGATGGGGGGGGAGTGGGGGGGGCGGTAATGAAAAACGGCAGAGGAGCGCCCCCGTTTGTGCGTGGGGAAAATGCGCTTGTGGTTTTACGGCTCATTCTCCTGGCTGTGAAGGGCATCACCGGCTGAAGGGGAGCGACACAGTAAGGGAGCCTTATGGTGGGCGAGCTCACTCACCCCCCCACACTGGGAGCTCACCAGGAAATCAGCACAACTTCTCATTTCTGCCATACTGTGATGACGATGGCCTCCTGAGGGATAGCCACCCTGCACCCAGTCCCTCTCCCAGTCCCTCTCCCAGTCCCTTTCTTAGTCCCTCTCCCAGTCCCTCTCCCAGTCCCTCTCCCAGTCTATCCCATGACTGCTGAGATCTACCCCATGATTTTTTTTAAAGATTTTGGTGGATCATTGTGATTTCCAGACACTTTCTGAGTGTGACATTGCTACAGTGGATTGGTGTTTTGGGGCATTGGGGGGGGGGGGGGTTGCAGGTCCAGGGTGCCTGTAAGGTGAGAGGACAGAGGAAAGGGCATGAAAGGCGCTCAGCCTCTGTGCCCAGGTGCCTCTCCGTCTGCACTGGTGGCCATCCCTCCCTGAGCGCCCCCCCCCACCCCCCACCGGCAAACCGCTGGCTCGTTACCCCTACCTCACCCACGGTGAGTGGGAGGGGGACAGTTGGTGTGGCGGGGGGGCGAGGGGGCCTGCAAGCCGTCAGACAAAGACACGAGGACGCTGCAGTGCGCCGGGAAGCAAAGTCCCGAGTCAGCAACTCCTATTGATTAAAAACTAACCTTAGAGTCTCTGCTCCGTGCTGGTGGCGGAATTTAAAGGGGCAGCGGTCAGAGCCGGAACCTTCAGGAGACCGACCGCCCGCCCCCCTGTGGCCACCCCCTTGGCCTGTTCGCTTTTATTTATTTTATCCTCTTTTTTTCATCCCCCTTTCATTTCTTTTTTTTCCTTCCCATTTTCTATTCTTTTTAGCATCTCAAGTATGTCATGTGGCCTTAATGGGCCTAAGACAAGAGACGCTTTGGGGGGGTGGGGGAAAGGGCCATAATTCTGCCCCGTCCAAATGTTTTCCCATGCACACCCCACACTTAGTATGCAAAGAGGAGTTAAAATGCCATAATTGAACTATTGTCTTCATTTGAACAGGGTTGGCTGCAAAGTTTTTGGGGATTAATTAAGCTTAGTCCTGGATTGGTGGAGAGGTGGCGGGGGTGTGTGGGGAGGTGGACAGGAGGGCTGCGGGGGGGGGTTCACGGATCAGGCTGAATCAATAGCGCTGTGTGCTTGCTGCAGGGGCCGGGAGAACGGTGGGAAGGGGGCCAGAGAAAGAGAGGGGAGAAAAGATGGAGAGAAAGGGGGAGAGAAATGGGGAGAGGTATACAGGGTGCAGCGGCCGGCCTTGCTAATGATAGTCACGTCTACAGCCGTCTGGTTGTCCCTAGCAACCAGACATGATGTAACACCAGGATGAACTTGAACTTGGAGAGAGGAGGGAAGTTGAGAAGGCGGGGG